CCATCCATTTCTTTATAGGTATCTTCTTTCACGCCAACGCATCTTCCGTGAAACCAACGGAAGCACATTTCGCATGGTAGATAAAACCTGGAATTAACTCGAATTGTCGAAATGAAGACAAATTAGTTCTTGTCTGAAGCCTTTTCTAACTGATCATGCAAAGCAAGACGTTGCTGATACGATAACTCCACTAAGGTTACTACACTTACAGGTTTACATAGAGCATATGGTTCACAAAAGAACCGTTACACTGGCTCACTCCGCGAGCTTTGTAAAAAAAAATGCATACGGTTGGAAATATAACGAGTAAAGCCCAAGAGTTATCCCTATTGAGAGCTACCCAGCAGATTGGCAAAAAATTTCTCGCACATCAATTTCCATTGAAGTTTATGTTTCGGTGAGAGTAGCGGCACACTTCTGATTTATACAATCAAGCTATACAAGTTGAAACCATAAAGATAAACCAATAAGCATGAGAATAAAAGCCGAAGAGAAGACACTTACCTTCTGGGATTGTATGTTGTTCGGCAGATACAGTGCAAGAGATTAGGATCCAGTCCCTGAGGTGGTGATTTGTCAAAGGAATAGTCTTCGGTCGAACGCTGAACGAATTAGATACAAATTTCTAGAAAGAAATCATAGCAGCTTGACGTACCGTGCTCATATGCTCCTTGTGATAGCGCTTGGGTGGACGTCCTCTTCGTCGAACTTCCGAACCAGACGACGACGTATCTTCCAATTCATGCTGCAAAAATTGCTTTCCCGCTACTTCGTGAAGAAAAAAAAAGGCGAAAAGCTGCTTACCCTTCTTTTGTGCTTTGGAGGTGAAGGAAGTGCGGGTCCCCTACGTGATGGTTCCCAATCCGCGACTGTATTAGACTCTAGAGTTTCTTCCTGCACCTCTTTTTTGACTTCATTCAACACTTCATCTTTGGCTTCCTGAAAATTCAAAAATTACAGCAGTAGTGGATTTGTCGATCTAGATACATACAGATTGTTATTATTTATGTTTTTTGAGAAAACACGAACATATGGAAGCTTTGTCACGATTTCCTGTTTTGATCACATGTACACAGAAGCTGGTTCCCTTCGTAGTCACACTGCCTCTACTACAAACATAAGCAACGCACCTCCTTGATGTCTATAGGTTTCTCTTGCTTGATCCAATTATCCACTACATCTCCGCCAAGGCTGATT